CTCCAGTGATCTCGCCGCGAGGCAGCTCGAAACGCCGCATTATTTTAAGCCGTTTTAAGCTTGTCGCGCTCGCGCGCTATTTTCGTTGCGCCGATTCGAAATTCAAATTAATATCGGCTGCGCGCTCGAGGAGAAAAATCACGTATACGCTTACTCGCAGGGCCAATTTAGCCGGGGATATCGAGTCTCGAGGAGCTGGCGCTACGCTAGTGGGCCTCATTGATGAATCGCTGGTCCGCAACTTGGGTTGGCTCGGCGGGCCGCTCGAGGCGCACGCGATATCGACGCTCTGGCAGAAAATGAAATAAGCAATATTTCAAGCGCGTACATTATATGCAGCGCGTATGTGTGTGTGTGTGCTTGTAATATAAGCGCGACTGGCCCGAGTCGAGACACAAATTGAATTTTCCCTCTGCGCCATCATCGTCGCAATCGCTTATGCGCTCTTGTATGCAGTCCGCGTACATATATACCATAAGCGCTTAAAAGACTTATTACTTCATTTACCTCTCTCGGATTCTCGCTCGGAATCGTTTTGATTAATCATTCGCCGCGTCTCGTTCTCTCGGTAATATATGTACTCTCGAGCCCTGAGATTAAGTTAGAAAACGCGCTCTGGAGGCGCGACTTTGCCTGCGCATGCGTGTACATATGTGTGCTAATGAGATGTTTGTCAAGGATACCCGACTGCATTATCCGTAATTCCTTTATTTTTTTGTTCAAGTATATTTGTCCAAGTTATTATTTTTGTTTACGTGCAGCGGAAAAATAGGCAAAGAGCAAATGGAGGGAGGAGCTGGCGCACGCATGCACACACGCACGCATTACCCCCGCACCGAGCGATTTAAATTGAGTTATAGCTTTGCATATACCTACGTATATAATGCAGAGGCGCGAGAGCATATGGTTCCAACTGCGAGCGATCTCGAATCTCTGATAGATGAGCTTTTTTTCTCTGTCTCTCTCTCTCTCTCTGCGGCTCGTATATACACGCGCGCGCACACACGCAACTCGCTACACATAACACCGAGGCTATTCGAAATCGCGCTAAAAACGTTACGCCCCTCGATTATCTTGGCCTTTTTTTCGTCTTCCTTTTGTTTGGATTACGCGCTAGTGATTAAAGGCGGATATTTAGCTTGACGCGTATATATACTTAAGCTACACGTAATGTTGCGATGGGCCCGTGATAATTACTCAATTATGTTCGGAGCCTTTTTTTCTCTTTCTTCGCTCGGCGCTCGGCGCTCTCGTGTGCGTTATGATCGAGTATACATGCTCGATACGATACCTGCCGATGTTTCAATTAGATTTTTAATTCTCTTGTAATAACGGCTCAGAAGGCGGACGGATATTACAAATCATTCATTCATAATGCGTAGGATAATGGAGTGAAAGTGAGCGGGTAAGCATATTATATGCGGCGTCGTCGCGGAATTTTTCCAATAATGCACGCGACGCGCCGCGGATTATCCTTACGGAAATTATGATTTTCGATCATGTGTTTCTCACGCGAGCTCGCAAGTTCCGCCAGGAGGAAAGCACAAAATCTCCATTATTTAGCTGTGTCCTTTGTCCCCTCTCTCTCTATCTCTGTCTCGATGCCGCTCGCACACATAACATTATTCAATAAACGTTTATACGTTACGTACGTAAAAGGACAATGCTCGGCCATCTTTAGCATTTGATCTCGAGCTCTCTGCGCTGCTCCGTGCACGAGTGTTTTTTTTTGTTTTGCTTCAACCCAAGGACCTCACTCGGGAGCTCTCTCTCTCTCTCTCTCTCTTTCTCTCTCTTTCTTCATATGGACAATCCCGCCTTTCGAAGGACGGTCCCACGGGAGAAAGAAAGAGACACCTGGATTTATCGGTCGCTGCTCCATACCGCATTGTTTTCGCGGCGGACTTACTCTCGGCCGCCTTTTTTGCATTTTCGCCTCGTACTCGGGGCCTATACCGCACAATTCGTTTATGCGCCTGCTTTGTGAGCTGAGGCTACTCACACACGTGTCGTCGTGCAGGCAGATTAAAGCCCAAAATGTCTCTCGTCTGCGCTTTTGCCTCGAAGAATTTTCGTAATCAACGAATTATCAGCAAGCGCAATTCGGTGGATGCGCGAATTAGTAAAAGTCGATGCGTTCGGGGAGGAGTCGAGGGCTGAGAAGATAGGAAGGAATCTCGCTTATCTCGGCTCTTTTTCCGGTTTTCGTACAAGCACACGCGGGCGCAGGCTTCATGCCCGCGCAGCATATAAGTATATTCACTTTTGCAGCAACCATGCGATTTCTCGTTTCTTTTTGTCCGCAGGCGAATTATCCAACAGCCGCATCGCTTATTCCACTGTTATCCACCGGGTGTCTTTTTTTCTCCATCTTTCTCTCTCTGTCTCTCTCTCTCTCTTTCTTACTCTAGAGTTATATATCGAAAGGGGGAAGAAAAGCGCGAGCTCGCGGGGGAAGATTCTTTGTTCGCGATGCCATCCCATGACTCTTTATTGCTGCTTCCTCGAAAAAGAATGGCTGGCTGCACAGCAACAGCAGCCAAGATCGTTCGCGGGAAGGTGCAGCGGCTTTTTTTTCTCTCCTTTTTTTTCTGTGTCGAGTCCAACAACGCCAGTATGTGCAGTAGTATTGTAGGCTGAGAACGTTCGATGCAGTCTAACATACAAGTGCATGTGTGAGCACAAGGTGGGGATGTATGTTTTTGCACCTTTTGTTGGGACTCGTGGACACTGGAAGAGAGAGAGAGAGAGAGAGAGAGAGAAAAAGAGAAAGAGAATGTTTATGTATGTACATTGTACATGGATGCTAAAGATTTTTCACACGATTTTAGGAGAGCCAGAGGTGAAAAATTCTTTGCGCAAAAAATAATATCTTGTGACTCCCAAGTCTCTCCTTACCACCGTACCGTACCGCACCTCCACTAGTTACGTTCAAATTACAGAACGATTAATTCCAGAGACGTTAATTTGATCCGATCGCGTCCATCATCGCGTCCATCATCGCGTCGTTCGAAGGCATCATTCCTTTGCTGCCGACTTTCACACAGCTCGGAGCACGCGGACGGAGCAAAAAGTCATTCCACTTGTTTTGAAACAGTAAAATATCAACGGGCTCCATTTTGTACCTGGACAAACATAAATTAGACTTGTACGGCCATGTCGGAAAAGAATTGAGACTTGAATACGTCACGAGAATCATTTTAATGGCTCGTGCAAGCCTCGAATTTCTGTTTACCCCTTGCTACAATATCCAAGTTTTTATAATGTTACGTGCTATTGGTGAGCGAGGTGAGCTCGCGACCGCAAGAGTACCGCCTCTGAGGCTGCAATTTTTTAGTAAAACTTAGTATCTAAAATCTTTACGGGGCAGGCTTTGACGATTTGAAAATGAACACGAGTAAAGTAAAAAATGGAGCGAAATTTTAACTCTTTGCGTATGCAGTAAAAGGAAACGTACGGAAGGGACGTCACTTATTGAAAAACAAGTTATACGAAAGAAACGATAAAAGGGCAAACCTTGAGTTTCGCATTATCGTACGAAAGAATCGTCGCTTGGGTACGTGAGCGACGTATCCACACACACACACATGCAAGCGGACGATCGACGAGAGAAAGGATCAAACGATAAAAAAAGGACTCCCCTTCGACGCGCATCTTCGCTGTCGATTTGCGATGCCACTGTGAAAGGAGAGTAGTATACCTTGCTTGCCACCAGAGGAAAAAGAAAGAGAGAGAGAGAGAGAGAGAGAGAGAGAGAGAGAAAGAGAGAGAAAGAGACGGAAGAAGATAAAACAGAGGACGCGGAATTCAATGCATTATATGGGTGGAGATGTGGATATCCTCGATGGAGAAGAAATAGACGCTGTTTATTAATCACGACTTTTTAAATTCAATTATTGTAAATGGATGAAAAAATAAAGTAGAATTGGATGGAAAAAGGGTCAGTTGCAGCGGCACGTTTGGCAGCATAAAAGGAGTCGGAGCGAGATATAAATAAAACTCCAAGTGAACGATTCTCTCTCTGTCTCTCTCAGGCTCTGTCTCTGGGCGATTGTTTGTTTGTGCTGCGTGTGTGTCGTGCCGCGCGGCCATTCTTCCTTATATACGCACTCCATACTGAAATGGTCGTCGTCGCTCTTTTACCGTTCGACGCGGTGTCAGGTGCAGAGTATACAACCTTTTTTTAATCGACAAAAAGCAACCTCGAATCGAAACTTTTTCTTGTTCTACCAGCGCGGTCTGCAAAATTCTGCGTCATCAACGAGGACTGGTGTGAAAAATTATCAAGTCCGAGCCGAAGAGCTGCACCGTATTTATGAAATATGGATCTCGCGCGGACGTGCGGCAAAGAATCTCGCACCCGAGTTGTAAATTTCAGCGAAAATTATACCTACGCGCCGGAAGGTCATTAAAATATTAACCCGAGACGAGGCGGCCGCCGCTGCCGCGCTCCTTTTTGAATTTCTTCATTTCTGCGCGTGTGTCGGCGCGCTCGCACGAGCGCGCTTGGCGCCTCCGTATCATCTCGTACTTTTCATTTACGACTCGCTCGGGCCCCGAGCGGCTCATCGTCTTCTTTTGGCTTTTCCTACTTCGCAGCTCGAGCAAACAAAAACTTGCATATAGATTGAAAATTAACTTTACTACGGACTGCGCTCGTGCGCGGCGGCTGCGAGTGCTTAGGAGACTTTTAAATACCCAATTCTTATTTCTAATTATGTGAGCCTGACGCGGCCACTTGGCTTACTCGGCCGAATGGTCTTTTTTTCCCTTCCACTTTTCGAGAAAACGATCTTTTGCCGAAATTATACGAGACCAGATCTCATTACCTTTTATTGGAGCCTCTTTGCAAACTACCTGCTTTTTTTATCACTTTGTTTGTTCAATCAAGAACGGTATTTTTCCGAGTTACGTCTTCTTTAAATTGCATATCGCGTTATAAGGTGATAAAAATTAAAACGCTTCCTTTTCTTCTTCACTTAAATTTTTCTCTCATACTTATTTATTTATTTTTTTGTTCTTAGCTAAATATGATTTTTTTTTTTAATAATTCTTATTTAGCTCTATTTTTCATAGAGACATCGTCAGTTATACAATTACAATCTAAAATCCGATTTTCATCTCGCCTCGGGGAGAAACGAGGTCTCGTTTGAGTTTATTCTCTTTTACTGCCTCGTAAAAAAATGTACCGTGTTTTCACGTTATAAACGAATTTTACGATTGGTTTTTTTATACACAATACAAATTTATCGACTAATTTCGATCTTATTTTTTCGTTGAGCTACACTTTACGAATTATCGAATTTCATACGTTGAAAATACTTGTTACAATATGTTTATTTACATCTACTTACGAAACAATTGGCCCTTAAGTATACATATACAAAGCATAAATCGTTCGTTGAAAATTTCGACGTTGTTCATTGGCCCATTTTTGTGCATATATGAGTGGAGAAATTATTGCGGATTGGCACGAGTTTAACACCATATAAACTACAAAATAAACGTTGCTTTATAATTAAAAAATTATCTACATCTTATTTGATATATCGGTACGCAATTATTTCTTACACAGTGTAAGTAAACTACAAACTAAGCCTAAGCTTTGGTAATTCGGTTAGGGTTTGAGACTTTGGAACTGTGTTCATCATCACTGGTCAACGCCGCCTAGCTTACGAGAAAAGCGTCGACTCGTCAATTAGCATCTATGAAATATCGCGTGTCATCTGGCACACCTAAAAGGAGCCGATGGTTTTTTTTTTTTCTATAATACTGTCAGTCTATATCACTTGGTGCGCGGTGAGGCTTTCAACCAAACTCATGGCACATTGTCAGTCAGTAGAGGTCGGTGAAGGGCACCTGCGACGAGTGCAGATGGTGCAGGGCGTGCAGCTCCTCCATGGACGTCGAGGGCATGCTGTTGCTGTCGGACAAGAGGCCGGGACCACCCGAGCCCAGACCGGCCGGAGATCCAGTGCCCGTGCTCGACGAGGCTGGAGTACCCGGACAGCCGCCCACCGTCGAGGAGCCGCCGCCGCCACCCCCTCCGCTCTCCTGCCGCATCATGTTGCGCCGCCACTTGGCCCGGGCGTTCTGGAACCACACCTGCGCCACAACGCACAAACACACAACGTCGTAAGATTATATTTGCATCGTAAATTGGGTGCGTTCGGAAATTACCTGCAAGACTCGCTTGGAGAGTCCAGTTTTTTGGGCGAGCTGTTTCAGGTCCTTGGCGTCGGGATTCTGGTTGATGGCGAAGTAGCTCTTCATGGTTCTCAGCTGATGGTGCTTGAAGCTCGTTCGCATGCGCTTGGTGCGCTGGCCCTGGTGGACCGGGCCACCGGGCGAGCTCGCCGACGTGTCGTAGGCGGCCAACGACTCCATCGACGACGACAGCTCCGTTGGGTGGAGCAATTCTTTGCGACAAAACAGACGGAACGACGAATGAGACGATTACAGTGAAAAATAAAAGCAACGAGAAAAGTATATATATTCGTAGAAGCATACAGTCGAGTCGATCTTTATCGCCGCCGGTCGGTTGCGCGCGGAGCAGCGGACTAATTACGAGCGCGCGCGCGACTCGGAGCCCAAAGAAGAAAAAAAGAAAAGAAGTAAGTGGACGCGTGGCGCGCACGATATATGGAAATCAAACAAGAGCAAATTATTATTTGCTCGAGCACTCGAGGACGAACGCGTGCGCTCCGCGCCAGTAGTAACAGTCAACGGTCGCTTGGGCAAATACTCGCCAGCGCGCTGTGCTGCTGTTGTTGCTACTGCTTGCCTCGTTTCATCAACCAAGAACAAATTCTAACCGACAGCTCCCCTTCGTCTCTTTCTCGCTCTCTCTTTCTTTCTTTCTTTCTTTCTTTTGTCTACGTAGTATGACACTCCCACGCCTTTTTTGAAATAACCACCTTCTTGCATAATATTTTTTAAGCAGTATTTTACAAATAATTTTTTTATCCGTCATATAGTAATAAATATTTTTCTATTTTTAACAAATAAAGAATTACAGAACCAGATAAGAATTTATTTTGGCCACGCAAAAATGATGGTCTTTATACGGTACGTTACAAGCTCGCTGGTCGCGACGGTTAATCAACTGCTTGTTTTTTATTTTTTATTTGACTAATTCACCGAAGATGAATTTGAGATACATTTTATTCTCGATAGCTGGTTGATAATTTTGTTTGCGCTCGACATGATTTCCACTGGAAAAAAGCTCATGCAAATGTCGAGAGTCATAGATAGGGCAAAAAAAATTTGACTTCTCGTGACTCGTGGTTGAGGTAGCGCACAAGGATCGCTCCTCGATATATATTTACACTTGGCCTTTCTGTCTTGGAAACGTGCGCGCAGCTGCACTAACTACATGTCTCTCTCGCTCTTCTCACTTGCATCTGTATATACGTATATATACGCCAATTACTTACGCCCCTTTTATCGACCAGCGCAAACAGAATCGATAAATTCGCAAACATGCCTCTCTCTCTCTCTCTCCCCCTGGCAAAGTGAGTGAGCGAGTGAGAGAGAGAGAGAGCAAAGGTTTGCGTACCTGCGAACTCGCGTACATGCATACGCATTTATAACCAGAGAGTAAAGCCCATGATGTGTATTTAGCTTTTTGCTGTTATCGCTCGGCGGTCATATGGAAAAAAAGTTTGCCGCTTGAGTTATTCGTGCGCAAGTTCGACATGTAGCTTGTCTTTGAACGGGTAGCGAGTTCGATCGTTATTTTCCCCGCAGCAGTACACGTTATCAGGGAAAATAAATTTTCCCCTCCAGCCGGGATAAAAGCTCGAAAATCGTAAACTTTGGATGCGTGCGCGCGCGTCTAGGCAATTATTACGAGCTCGGTTCGCTATCGAAATCAGCCGCGCGCGGATTTAGTTATTTAACGCGAGAAAATGTCGCGTTGCTCAACTGCGCGGTGGCTGCGGGTCGCGCGCGTACACGCATGTGACGTGTATCACGAGCCGAGAATGCGAGTACGCGCGTCGAGCGGGGACAATGGCAAAAAAAGGGTAAAACCACCGCGGCGGGGACCAATCGCGCGTAGCCGGCGAATAAAGGCAAAAACGATTAAATGCAGGCGCGGGCCGCCCTTTGAAGTCTTTTTTCCAGAGCGACTGTCGCGCACGCGCGTGCGTATATACGTATCGCAAGAAGAAAATCGGCAGTCGTCCCATGAAAAATTCTTGGTAGGTAGAGCGATACGAGAGAGAAAGAGAGAAAGACATGTCGTGCGCGCGCGGTGAGAAAACAGGTATAGAGCAGTCCATTACAATACAAGAATTCGCTGCGCTTGGACTTTTTTTTTTTTAAATTCTCGATTGATGATCGTACGCGCAGCGATGCAACAAATATGGTCGAATCGCTAGAGACGAAAATTTAATTCCAACAAAAGTTGTGGGAAAAGGCAAAATTGCAATTGCAAATGTTTTTTCTTCGATACCGCAGCTCACGAGTTTTCATAAATATCAGCAATTGTAATATCGTCTAGCGTGGAATAAATCAAACTGCGAAACTGCCGATGTAAAATTACGAACGTATATACGCCGGGGTATGAAATTTTCGTATTTTGCGCAACAGCGTCGAGTCTAGCGTAGAACAAAGGAACAACGTTGTTAATTCGGGGGCAGCTCGAGGCAGCTGAGCGGCCCGTCAGACAGTGATATATCGGGCACACAGCAGCAGCAGGCCGATAAAAATGGAGAGAAAAGAGCATGCGAGGATTGGCTCGCTGCTGCGGCATTGCAGAATTGGTACCTATTGGCTTGTCAGAGAAGGTAGAGGAAGGATCGATGCTGCCCAATGCCCATAGGCGCGTATATACCAGAGAAAGAGAGAGAGAGAGAGAGAGAGAGAGAGAGAGAGCGAACGAGTGCGGCCTTGTGCACTTTGTAAAACGTCGAGGACATTTATTTAAAATTATGTATCGCCAGCCACTCGAGGATCGCTAACGACAAAATCTAAATTCAGTTGCGCGCGTACGTCGTGTACGGACATTTTTCGAATTTCATTTGTACGGGAATAAGCTGGCAGCTGGACTGGCGAGTGCATCGAACCAGCTACCACTGGCTACATACCGTTACAAACGCATAATTTTATATATTTTCTAAAAAAAGGCATGTAAAAAAATAAAAACAGGAGAGCCGTGTGTGTGCACAGTGTGCAATACGTTGGTTATGCACAAGCGTAGCAGCAGCAGCAGCAGCAGCAGCAGCAGCAGCAGCATAAATAAAAGAAAGCGCAGCACGTAAAATCGGGCGAGTGGAGCTCGTAAAAAAGTCACATATAAATCAGCCATCAGTCAAGCTACTGCTGCTGCTGCAGGTTTGCATTATAAAAGTGGACGACGCCACGTCGTCCGATACATATATGTATAGAGTCGCGAATACACGCGCTTGCTCGGGAGGACTGGTCTCTCTCGTCTTTGCGCAGTTGTGACGCGAGATAATGCGCGCATGAAAAGAGACCGAGCGAGTCCGTAGACACGCTATGGAGCACGACTCGACTCGACTACGTAGTTATATATAGCTGCGATACGTAGTTGCGCGCTTTCCACGCGAGCTTTGATATTATACACCGACAAGTGGCATGAGAGCTGGTGCGCAGCTTCTTGATGTGCTCCGTAGAATACTGGACGCGTGATCGATCGCAGGCCTTTTCCCTTGCCTACGCATACGCATGTATATAGCAAAGACAAAAAACAACGCAGGCCTACTCGAAAGTTTCGACGGCGATAATACGTACCCAGTGCACCGGCGGCCAGTCTCATGGTGACCGGCAGATCCGAGCCGGCGATCTCGGATAGTTTTCTCTTCCTCGGGCGGCCCTTTTGCGCCGCTGCCGAGCCGCCCGCCGAACCGCCGCCGCTCGGGTTGTTGCCGCCAGCCTGGCCCGACGTCACCGGGCTCTGCTCGGCCGCGCTGTAGTAGCTCGGCAAGGGCGACATTCCCGGTGAGCCGAGGTCCTCGACGCTGCCCGTCGTGCTGCCGTAGTCCGCGGCGCAGCATATCAGCTCGTAATGCGGCCTGCCAACACAGCAACGAGCTTTTGTCCATCATCGACTTATTTTTCCTGGCACTTTTGTGTGACCGCGAAAGGCGATGTGACTCTCTTTCGTAATCATGAATCTTCCTCTCGGAGCATCGACAAAAAAATTGAGAAAGTTAGATGTGCGTACCTGCAATAAACGAGCCCATCCCTTTGACCAAAGTGATCGCCCTTGTTGAGCGGTGTGCCGCAGGAGGCGCAGGTGAAGCAGGCCACGTGGTAGACCAGGTCCCGGGCTCGCATCACCAGCTCCGTCGACGAGATGCCGGCCCGACAGCGCGAGCATCTCGATACGGCGAACAACCTGCGCAAATTTTTCAACGTTTTTACTTTGTCAAATGTAAAATAGCTCGGCTTTTTTTGTCAATTCTATATTGTACATTCGTGTATGCGCGCGAGTGCACTCGTAGCGCGCCCACACGTGCACACGCGGCTATTTGCCTATGAGGCGAGTCGCGATCCGGTCCGAGCCATTAAGCGGCTGGCAGCGGCACTTCTGTGTGGTCCGCTCGTGCTAATTCCTAATCGACCATAGTCATTATAGCTATGTGTGTAGCCGCTGCTAGCGCGATAGACATTAATTTTCACGCCGAATAGACGTCGAATATTTTTTTCCTTTTAATCACCTGTAATAATCCTCCTTGCAGTAGATATTGCCATCTCTGGCGAAGCAAGTGAGCTCGGCGGCGAGGGGCAAGCGACAGTGGCAGCATCTCAGGCATCCGCAGTGCCAGGGCCTATCGGCCGCTCGTAAATACCAGCGCTCGTGGATCTCTCGGCCGCATCCACCGCACGCGAGATTCGTCCCCAACTGAGAGCCTGCATTATTGTTGTTATTGTTGTTGCTGTTGTTGTTGTTGTTGTTGTTGTTGTTGGACTGCTGCTGATGATGTTGATGATGATGGTGATGATGATGATGATGATGATGATGAAGATCGTCAGTCGGGGCAGTCGGTGCATCGGCAGAGGGTGGCGTGCAAGCACCGCCGGTACCGCCACAGCCGACCTCTTTCAGCATGGTCGTCGCTTCGGCCGAGCATAATCGTTGAGCTTGGAAACCATCCTGGGGCTAATGCGATTCAATGGTGACCTGGGCAAATTGCAACACATACATACGAGCACACGTTAATGACACACGTGCGAAGAAACCGGATACTCGCCGCGCAGCTACGTGTCTATGAATGAAACCGATTCACCTCCTCTTTACCTTGGAGTACCTTACTACTATGTACGTCTAACCGTTAAAATTCGAGAAAGAAAGAGAGAGAGAGGGAGGGAGCAAGTGAGAGAGAGTGAGTAAATGTAGCCTCGCACCAGACGTTGGGATAGTGAATCAGTTGCGAATCGACTAGTAGCTAATTAGTGGGACCTTGCTCTTTTTTCTCTCGGGGCGCGCGCGCAAGCAAGCATATGCATGTATATGCTGTAACTAGCTGCTGCTCGCCAGGAATATGTATATGCATGAATATAGGCGTGCGAGTCGTTGTATGTGTGATTGTGAGCTGCTGCAGCTCGAGAGCGGGCAACTTCACCATATACCCCGAGAGCGAGCTGCAGCTGGGATTTTCCGACCAAAAAAAAAAAAAAAAACAACAACAACGGAATATACGCGTATATGCATGTATATTTTTGCCTGGTAAACCTCAACGATGATACGCGAGCAGCAGCAGCACATCGTTAGAGTAGATACATGGCTTTCATGTATTGTTCCGCACGTGCAGCACTGCAGGCTGCCGCTGCTTCGTTAGGCCAAGTTGCGCAACTAAGCGGCGGCCAACGATCGCTTTTCGCAAATCCTCGCGAGCACAAAGTGAATTATCGTATTTTCGCCGAGCGCTCGCCCACGCACGCACGCGTCTGCTTATTTTTACGGCATGCAGATTAGATGAGAGATTAAATGTACGCATGGCAGGCGGCTACAATCGTTCGCCGATGCTGCGTGTACAGAGCAGCAGCTACCTTGGCCCTTTTTGTCTACTCGTATAATCGGGAGCGCATTTCGTGTACCGACTCATTTCTTTCTCTCGCTCTCTCCTCGTCTCTCTTTCTCTCTCTCTCTCTCTCTCTCTCTCTCTCTCTCGTTTGCTTCTACCTATGAGCCGCTGTTCAAGCGAATAATTTCTGCTTGGGTTCGGTGTAATATGCAGATTAGATCGAGCGCGCGCCAATGTATAATACTCTCTTCGTTTTTGCAAACGCGCCGTAGAAAATTTATTTCGCCAAAAACCAAAGGATCTTTCATTTACAAACAACAGCCAGCTGTCCTCGAACGAGACGAGCAAAATGGATCCCCCCTTTTTTTTCATTATTCCTTTTTTTTTTTTTTTGGATAATCGATTGGCCGAGAGACCTCGCTCGCTCGCGCGCTCAAAACAGATATATCCCGCAAGCAAACTGCAGCTCCGAGGACCTTTCTCTTCTTCGAAAAACGAAGAAAAAAAGCAAAGAAAGCAGCAGCGGTTGATACAAGGAACGCAAACAGAAGAAAAAAAGGAAACATTTACACCCGAGAGGGAACGATATTATACGCGCGCATCACACTCACGTACGCAGGGGCTAGCCCGAGGACAAAAACGTACACAAGTTTAAAGGGGGAGTCCGCAAGTATATCTACAAGGTGGAGGGAAGTAGGCCGACTCGAAGCCAGCAGCAGCGAGAGGCCAAGATATTTTAACGATCGCCGGATGTCGTCGGTGCGCTCGCGAGACTTTCATATAGCTGTTTCGCTTTTGTAATTTTTATTTATTTATTTTTTTCGTCGTCTTTTCTCAACCCTCCCACTCGTTCCCTATTGTGACGATTGAAGAGGCCAGCAGCTACGTGGCACGATATAATAACTGGCCGTGGAGGCAGTGGCGAATCTATTTGGGCAGGCTTGCGATAAGTGGCTCGTATACGACACGCGCACCCGGAAACGCATCCTCGCGGCCGGACGATAAAAGCGTGACGCGCGCCTCGTGCCGTAATAGCTGTCCACTCTTATCGGACGCTCGCGAATTCGCTCTTATCTGCCGCTCGCGAATAATTGTCTAAAAATAGGCGCGAGGGCAAAAAAGCTTATACCGACGACGAGCTTTCTTGGCCTCGGCGCGACTGGTTTTTTCGGTCGAACGCGAAACGAGAGAAGAGAGCGAGCAAAGATCGAACGTATATACGCACGACTATACTACCGGTGGCCGTCGCACAGCGTGACTTTGGCCAAACGAGTTTGTCTTTCTCTCGGCCGAGTACTCGACAAACGCAGATATGACAATACTCCTCGCGTAATTATTTTCTAGTTTTATCCCACTTACCCGCTGCCTCGTCTTTAGCACCGGTATTTAATCATCTTGCATAATCTGCCACGCTTTTTTTCTGCAGCTCCAAAGTCTAGGCGCTCGTTGAGAAAATGCACGGTGTGCCTCGATGTCGATGCGACATGAACGGCGGCTGTGGTGCTGGTGGCGGCGGCGGCGGCGGCAGCCTGCACAACTCGCTCGAAAAATTACACTTATTGCGAGTTATCTTGCTCACTCGTTCGCGCGCGCGCCTCGATTATCAGCGACCATATATTATAGCTGGTGGACTCGATATCGTGATCTTGGCGGGCAATACTCGCGTCTAGAGTCTGGAGTACTTGCGTTGAGTCGTCGAGGAAGCGTAACTACACCACAGGCACTTGACGCAGGCGCCGATGAGTTTTCTCGAGCTTTTCCAGACCTTACGCAGACCCAACATGGCACTTTGGAGGCTGCTGCTGGCTGGCGAGGCAACGATTTCGTCACACAAACTCGCGGGCGCGCGCAAGCACAACCACCGCAAATAAGACGACGATTCGGTTATGAAATTTTTCTACGCGGCAAAAAAATCAGGCTAGGCAGAAAATGCAAGCCCGCTCGCGGACGCCGAGACACGTACGCGCAATCTCAGCTCGGCAGCCGCGCTGATGTTTGAGAGACGTAGCGAATCATTGTCGGGGGCGCGAGGAAAGAAGCTTCTCTCTTGCCTGTCGAGACTATGTATATGTGTATAGAATCGGTGTAGAGGCGCGCACAATCGCGTTTACACTCGTATATACACAGAGAGAGAGAGAGAGAGAGAGAGAGAGAAAGAGCGATGCACGTTGCACACACACTCACGCACACACACATACACAAAGCTCGGTCGGGGTGGGGTTTTCTCTCTCTTTCTCGCGCAAAAAGCGACGCAGCACGAAGAGGTGGAGAGATAAATGCACCATTGGGCGGGGGTGTAGAGGCGCCCGCAGCAGCAGCAGCAGCACGACTCGTGTGCTCCACGGACGTAGAGCAGCAGCCACGACCCGGCGTCTGCGCTCTATCCGCGGCGCGTTCGCACGCAGGCGCCACCGAGCCAGAGCTCGTACTGAAATTTACGCGATCTCGAGCTGTAGCTACGTCCGTAGCTCGGTGTCTGCACGCTGCGCGATGGATGCTTGTATTTTATATTTGCCTCTGCGTTGGATGTGCGGCTGTCGCTGCTGCTCTACGCGTCGATACAGAATTACGAGTCATAGATGTGTATATATTTTACGAGTATAGTAACAGGCGTCAATCGAGTATCGATTATGTCGGGTTCGTTGACTCGAGCTGCATCCGCTGCAACGGTACGTACCATGATTGCGACGTTGGATGAACCAGCGGCCAAAGCTCCTTCCATCGGAAACGCAGCTCGAACTTGCGACTATCGGCCGACGCTCGAAGAAACTCGCGAGACACTCGGAGCCTCCACGAACTCCGTACGTTTATTTCGCTGTGAATCACTGCGGATCGCGCGTCGCGTCTCGACAAAACTTTTGCGTCGAGTCGAAAGCTCGAGACTCGTTGCAAGCACGCGGTGGCGTCGTCTTGGCGGACACGTGTCGCTCCGCGAGTCGGAGAGTAAAAGAGAGAGAGAGAGAGAGAGAGGCGCTAGCGGTAGCGCGTCAAGCCCGTGTCTCTGGGAGAAAGGATGGCTCGCGTTGCTCGATACCGCACACGGGCCCGACGACGGGCTGCCGGACATTTGAGCCGGTGCGCGGCGTGATACGGTAGGCTCGTTTTGCTCTGCTGTCTATGTGTGTGTGTGTGTGTGTGTGTGTATATATACATGTGTGCTTCCGACTCCTCGGAGGGTTGCGCGCGTGCGCGATGAGGCGCGGCCAAGGGGCCGCTCGATACCGCGCCACCGGCCAATGGGCGTGCGACGCCAGTCGATCCTATTGGTCGCGCTCCACTGCTTGCTCGTTCCCGTCTCGTCTCTGCAGCGTGCACACATAGGTATAAATTCTCTCTCTCTATATATATACGGTGAATATACGCGTCTACCTTGGCGGAACGCGTCGCCGTCGTCGCTTGCTCTCCCTTCCCCCACGCGACTCTGCCTCCTTCTCTTTAGGCTAGCTACTGCTGCTGCTGCTGCTGCTGCTTCTGGCTCCTGCGTGGTCCTTCTTTTTTGCTCTCTCCCTCCGAAACTCTCTTTCTCTCGCTCAGCTTCTCCTTTCGTTCTATAGTCGTGCGCGCACACACACACACACACACACACACATACACGTATATTCCTCTGTAAATGTATAGAGTATGTTTTTAGTACTCCGTAACAATGCGCAGCAGCTTCGGCTGAGCGAGTTTTCGCGACCACCGAGTTGACAATCTTATGCCAACAAATACCTACCTGCTAGTAACGTTTTAATTCAAATCATACTCGTATGCACATTTTCATTTTCACTTTAACTGTGATATATATTCTACTGAAAAATCCAATCGACCACAGCCAGCGCTTGCGAGCTCTATAAACGATTGAAAATTTAATCATAAATCTATAGGCAATGGAGAATATATCGAGACAAAGTTTTCCATCTACGCTCTACATAATCTAGAGGAGAAAATGATGAAATTTCAGAGAGGACATTTTCTTCCTTGGTATTCAATCAATTTACGTACATACAATTTCTTATTACTCAATAATTGCGCAGGTATAAAGATTAGCCAGATAATTAAGCAGCAGCTTTAAACTTGGTCGGATAGCGTGAACGATTCGATAAATTTGCCAGTCGAAGAAACAGTGGCAGCGGCGCAGAGCTTATGCGTCGGCGTGCGGGGCTCGCTCGAATCCCCAACAAAAAGGTTATACATCATAATCACGGCAGCGTGGCGCAACTGCAGCGGAGCACATATCTCTGTTATGAATTGCGAAGTGCGTCTAAATTGAGACGCTCGGGCTTGCGCTCGTATAGAGTGAGTCGGGCCTAAAAAAGATTCTTATATATATACCGTGGCTGGCACTGTATACGCGGCGGAGGAGGCGATAGCGGTACATCGGTCATATCGTATAGGCGCGAGCATAACAGCTGACTGACTGCCTCGTGCGCCGCGAGAGACAAACGCATTGCCACAAGTGCTATATAAATGCAAAAGTTTTCATGCACTCGTGTGTTGTGTGTATGTGTGTATCAGCTAGTTTCGCATCACACACGCACAAATCTACAGCCAAGCTGCGCGCGCGCGCGCTTTTAAATTGGATCAGAAAAGATCTAACGGTTAATTTCCGCACTAAGCAACTATGTGTCTTATCGCGTGAGCCAAAGCAGGATATGCACTCTTGGAAAAGAGCTTCTCTCTCTCTCTCTCTCTTTCCCTCTGTCTAGCCTCTCTTGTTATTTATATCGCGCGCAAACAAGCGCGTCGCTGCTGCACTTTGATATTCGCTTCTCTGCATACGATACGCGCGGCACCATTGTACACGTAGAGGCAGGCGCGCCAAGATTCGCCGCAAAGGCTCTCGATACTGTGTCAAGGTTGAATAATGCTCCGGTCGATCCGTCGCGCCGAATTTCCGCGACTAAAAAATGCGTCCCTCTGGCCGATCTGAAAATTGCAGGTCTCGCTCCGTGGCTTCGCGCGACTCGCGCCCTTTGCCCAACCGCACCATGCGGCTGCAATTATGAGCTGACGCGTGCATTTTTATCGTGGGTATGCTTATTAAATTCAACAAAGCGTGAAGTCTATAAAAGTGAGATGCACATCTTGATTCATGCGAGATTTCATCTCTTCTGTTTAATGCTGTTGCTGTTGTAGCTCGCGCGCGCGCAGACAGATATATATATACGCGCAACCTTGCGCGTGCTCGCATATGTATTAATTAAAAATGATGGGCATGGGTAGGCTCGAGTCTTGCGATGTTTCGCGAGAAAGTCGCGAGTCTCCGTCGAGCGAGGGCATCAATAAGTCGGCTCCGTGCACTTTGGGCCGTAAGATGAATAATCGATTCACCTGTTTCTCACGCGATGCGAGTAACATCTACATAACTACATCAAGAACGACAGGAGGTGCGCAATGAGACAGAAAAAACCACAGCAACGACAACAACAATAGGCTAGCAAAAAATATCCGTTAATCCATTTGTTTGCCAAATCCTCGAGTACGAATGCGACGAGATAGTAGGCTAGACTCGGATGCGCAGCGAGCGCGCGCGGTAGGGTCGTCGTCGCGGCCATGGGAATGAGGAAAGGCGCTAAGAAGAAAATAGGTACAGCTATAAAAATCGCGACTAGAAACAATACGAGCAAAGAGATTTGTTGTGCAGTCGAGTCGTTTCCGGGGAGCCACGACCGCGCGAGCTCGGTATAGGTCTGGGTACATAGCGGCTTCGACAGACGCGCGCGTGTAATAGGCCGCGCAATGAGCATGCATCGTCGTCATCGAGCTGTGGCGAAGCACGCGCGGCGGCTCTCCTCGAGGAAGGAAGGAAGTTCTAGCTCTAATTTATTATTCAAAGGATAATTTGGCTGTGCTGGAGCTGCTGCACAATTTTATTTTTCCATCGAGCTCGGTAACAGTATACTCGTAGTCGTGGGCCCAGGATCCAAGAGGGGCCGTTGTCGCTCGCTCGGAAGCCTTTTTTGCTCCACGATCCTTTCGTATTCATATATATGAGCAAGAAAATTTCTTCGTAGCTCGTCGGCGGCGCGTCAGCTTATGAACGCGTAGTACAGCCGTATATACTACGATCCGCGCGAGGCACGTAATCCAAGAAATACGTATGTGTGTACGTAGAGCAGTGGCACGCCGCAAGTAAAACAACGGCAAAAAAAACGAAGAAGAAGAAGAAGAAATGTTTCACGATATATGTGTGTGTGCAGCTCATATGGCTGGGTACAGAGAGCGACGCACACGCGGCCAGCACGTAATATCCCTTTGATACACGGTGCAGTGCATGCAGCTATAAAGGTATATATAGGTGAGCAGTTTTTTCATATATGTACAACTTTTGTGCGGGGGGTTCTCGGATCTGCCCCAAAATTTAGTATGTTATTTGGGTATGTGAAAATAGCCTTCAGGTAAATTTTTAGCCCTCTAGGGGCCTTAGGGCCCAAATTTGGGCCCCTCGAAGGTCCAAAAATAGCCGTTTTTACCTATTTTTGCGTATTATTCAAATATTTGTAACTCGGGCACCGGTGCATATTTTTTAACTCTGAGGGTCGCATTTTTTAGGTCAAGACATGTACTTTTCGTAAAAAAATTATGTAGAGCTCGATAGACCAACCCCCGGTTATGGGGGGGCAATGAAGGGGGATGAAAAATCGCAAAATTGACGTTTTTTAGCTTTTTTTGAATTGATGCAGAAGGCGACTGGATTGACGTATTTACTTTTGCAACGTCTCATTTTAAAGGTATTTTTATTACCTTTAAATTGCCGTGCGCAGAATTAAGATTGGTTCAAAAACGACGGAGATAGAGCTGTTTAAAGGTGTCAACATTATGAAAAAAGGCGTTTTTTCGAGATTTCGATAAGCTGTAACTTTTTTCTAGTAACATGAATCTCTTTGAAATTTTATGTGAAAGTAGTTGATTACATGTAGTTTGAAGCCATGTAGGTAAGGATCTTGGTATTTGCCTCTATAACCGAAAACGAGGCCCCCGAAATCCGGCACTTTAGCCCTTATATAGGCAAAATACATGTTAAATTGGGCGGCAAAACTATTTGGTAACTCCTGAAATTATCGCAAAATAAACATAAAAAAAAAATCAAAAACCCCATATTAAACGTATTTTTCGACGAGGAATCCAATGGTAACCTCGAATTTGACCTTGAACATAACCTCTAAAC